AATAAATAATAATAATAAAAAATAATAATATAGTGTAATTCAATACAAAATAATAAAAAAATTGAAAAGGTTATTAATGCATCGTGTAGGACAGCCATAGTTGGTTGCCATGGTGACGCCATAACAGTCAAGCTTCAGGGCTCCCATAACTGCTTAAGTTTCAGGGCCCTCATAACAGCTCAAGCTTCAGGGCCAAAATAATGCTGGTCCGCCACTACCTAGATACCTACCTTCCCACGGTGATCAAAACGGACCCCAACTGCTCGTTTCTGGTCATCGAAAAGTATCTGAAAAAAAAATTCATTAAAATACATAAAATTATTTTTCTCTATCAATGACATTTTTTCAAACCAAAAATATCTTAATTTTGGTGGAAATTTTGAGATTTACCAAAATATGCTTAAGAAACTTTAAAACCCTTGAATTATATAAGTGAATAATGAATATTAATTATAATCTTTGATAAATGGTCGTAATAAAGTTCGTAGTAGACAAGTGGAAGACGCAGAAGTGGATCGTAGATGGTGGAGCATCAGGGACAGATGGTGGAGCATCAGGGACAGATGGTGGAGCATCAGGGACAGATGGTGGAGCATCAGGGACAGATGGTGGAGCATCAGGGACAGATGGTGGAGCATCAGGACAGATGGTGGAGCACCAGGACAGATGGTGGAGCATCAGGGACAGATGGGAGCATCAGGGACAGATGGTGGAGCATCAGGGATGGATGTGGAGCATCCAGGGACAGATGGTGGAGCATCAGGGACAGATGGTGAGCATCAGGGACAGATGGTGGAGCATCAGGGACAGATGGTGGAGCATCAGGACAGATGTGGAGCATCAGGACAGATGGTGGAGCATCAGGGACAGAAGGTGGAGCATCAGGACAGATGGTGGAGCATCAGGGACGGATGGTGGAGCATCAGGGACAGATGGTGGAGCATCAGGGACAGATGGTGGAGCATCAGGGACAGATGGTGGAGCATCAGGGACAGAATGGTGGAGCACCAGGGACAGATGGTGAGCATCAGGGACAGATGGTGGAGCATCAGGGATGGATGGTGGGCATCAGGACAGATGGTGGAGCATCAGGGACAGATGGTGGAGCATCAGGGACAGATGGTGGAGCATCAGGGACAGATGGTGGAGCATCAGGGACAGATGGTGGAGCACCAGGGACAGATGGTGGAGCATCAGGGATAGATGGTGGAGCATCAGGGACAGATGGTGGAGCATCAGGGATAGATGGTGGAGCATCAGGGATAGATGGTGGAGCATCAGGGATAGATGGTGGAGCATCAGGGATAGATGGTGGAGCATCAGGGACGGATGGTGGAGCATCAGGGACAGATCTACTGTGGAACTAATGAAGCTTAAGCTTGAGGGGCCCTTAATCCCGGAGATGGTCTGGGAAGCAGGATGCTATGGGGAGTAGGATGTTATGGGGAGTAGGATGTTATGGGGAGGAGGATGCTATGGGGAGGAGGATGCTATGGGGAGAAAGATGTTATGGGGAGGAGGATGTTATGGGGAGGAGGATGTTATGGGGAGGAGGTTATGGGGAGGAGGATGTTATGGGGAGGAGGATGTTATGGGAGGAGGATGTTATGGAGAGGAGGATGTTATGGGAGGAGGATGTTTATGGGAAGGAGGATGTTATGGGGAGAAGGATGTTATGGGGAGGAGGATGTTATGGGGAGGAGGATGTTATGGGGAGGAGGATGTTATGGGGAGGAGGATGTTATGGGGAAGGAGGATGTTTATGGGAAGGAGGATGTTATGGGGAGAGGATGTTATGGGGAGGAGGATGTTATGGGGAGGAAATACGAGAAGAGTTGATGAAGCAACTTTAATCCACATTGCTTAACAAGCTTCAGGGGCCCCATAACAGTTCAAGCTTCAGGGGGCCCCATAACAGTTCAAGCTTCAGGGGCCCCATAACAGTTCAAGCTTCAGGGGCCCCATAACAGTTCAAGCTTCAGGGGCCCCATAACAGTTCAAGCTTCAGGGGCCCCATAACAGTTCAAGCTTCAGGGGCCCCATAACAGTTCAAGCTTCAGGGCCCCATAACAGTTCAAGCTTCAGGGCCCCATAACAGTTCAAGCTTCAGGGCCCCATAACAGTTCAAGCTTCAGGGGGCCCCATAACAGTTCAAGCTTCAGGGGCCCCATAACAGTTCAAGCTTCAGGGGCCCCATAACAGTTCAAGCTTCAGGGGGCCCCATAACAGTTCAAGCTTCATGGGGCCCCATAACAGTTCAAGCTTCAGGGGCCCCATAACAGTTCAAGCTTCAGGGGCCCCATAACAGTTCAAGCTTCAGGGCCCCAAAACAGTTCAAGCTTCAGGAGCCCCATAACAGTTCAAGCTTCAGGGGGCCCCATAACAGTTCAAGCTTCAGGGGCCCCATAACAGTTCAAGCTTCAGGGGCCCCATAACAGTTCAAGCTTCAGGGGGCCCCATAACAGTTCAAGCTTCAGGGGGCCCCATAACAGTTCAAGCTTCAGGGGCCCCATAACAGTTCAAGCTTCAGGGCCCCATAACAGTTCAAGCTTCAGGGGGCCCCATAACAGTTCAAGCTTCAGGGGCCCCATAACAGTTCAAGCTCAGGGGCCCCATAACAGTTCAAGCTTCAGGGGCCCCATAACATTTCAAGCTTCAGGGGCCCCATAACAGTTCAAGCTTCAGGGGCCCCATAACAGTTCAAGCTTTAGGGGCCCCATAACAGTTCAAGCTTCAGGGGCCCCATAACAGTTCAAGCTTCAGGGGGCCCCATAACAGTTCAAGCTTCAGGGGGCCCCATAACAGTTCAAGCTTCAGGGGGCCCCATAACAGTTCAAGCTTCATGGGCCCCATAACAGTTCAAGCTTCAGGGGGCCCCATAACAGTTCAAGCTTCAGGGGCCCCATAACAGTTCAAGCTTCAGGGGCCCCATAACAGTTCAAGCTTCAGGGAGCCCCATAACAGTTCAAGCTCAGGTGGGCCCCATAACAGTTCAAGCTTCAGGGCCCCATAACAGTTCAAGCTTCAGGGGGCCCCATAACAGTTCAAGCTTCAGGGGGCCCCATAACAGTTCAAGCTTCAGGGGCCCCATAACAGTTCAAGCTTCAGGGGCCCCATAACAGTTCAAGCTTCAGGGGGCCCCATAACAGTTCAAGCTTCAGGGGCCCCATAACAGTTCAAGCTTCAGGGGCCCCATAACAGTTCAAGCTTCAGGGGGCCCCATAACAGTTCAAGCTTCAGGGGCCCCATAACAGTTCAAGCTTCAGGGCCCCATAACAGTTCAAGCTTCAGGGGCCCCATAACAGTTCAAGCTTCAGGGGCCCCATAACAGTTCAAGCTTCAGGGGGCCCCATAACAGTTCAAGCTTCAGGGGCCCCATAACAGTTCAAGCTTCAGGGGCCCCATAACAGTTCAAGCTTCAGGGGCCCCATAACAGTTCAAGCTTCAGGGGCCCCATAACAGTTCAAGCTTCAGGGGCCCATAACAGTTCAAGCTTCAGGGGCCCCATAACAGTTCAAGCTTCAGGGGCCCCATAACAGTTCAAGCTTCAGGAGCCCCATAACAGTTCAAGCTTCAGGGGGCCCCATAACAGTTCAAGCTTCAGGGGCCCCATAACAGTTCAAGCTTCAGGGGCCCCATAACAGTTCAAGCTTCAGGGGGCCCCATAACAGTTCAAGCTTCAGGGGGCCCCATAACAGTTCAAGCTTCAGAGGCCCCCATAACAGTTCAAGCTTCAGGGGCCCCATAACAGTTCAAGCTTCAGGGGCCCCATAACAGTTCAAGCTTCAGGGGCCCCATAACAGTTCAAGCTTCAGGGGCCCCATAACAGTTCAAGCTTCAGGGGCCCCATAACAGTTCAAGCTTCAGGGGCCCCATAACAGTTCAAGCTTCAGGGGGCCCCATAACAGTTCAAGCTTCAGGGGCCCCATAACAGTTCAAGCTTCAGGGGGCCCCATAACAGTTCAAGCTTCAGGGGCCCCATAACAGTTCAAGCTTCAGGGGCCCCATAACAGTTCAAGCTTCAGGGGCCCCATAACAGTTCAAGCTTCAGGGCCCCATAACAGTTCAAGCTTCAGGGGGCCCCATAACAGTTCAAGCTTCAGGGGGCCCCATAACAGTTCAAGCTTCAGGGGGCCCCATAACAGTTCAAGCTTCAGGGGGCCCCATAACAGTTTAAGCTTCAGGGGGCCCCATAACAGTTCAAGCTTCAGGGGGCCCCATAACAGTTCAAGCTTCAGAGGCCCCCATAACAGTTCAAGCTTCAGGGGCCCCATAACAGTTCAAGCTTCAGGGGGCCCCATAACAGTTCAAGCTTCAGAGGCCCCCATAACAGTTCAAGCATCAGGGGCCCCCATAACAGTTCAAGCTTCAGGGGGCCCCATAACAGTTCAAGCTTCAGAGGCCCCCATAACAGTTCAAGCTTCAGGGGCCCCCATAGCAGTTCAAGCTTCAGGGGCCCCATAACAGTTCAAGCTTCAGGGGGCCCCCATAACAGTTCAAGCTTCAGGGGCCCCATAACAGTTCAAGCTTCAGGGGCCCCATAACAGTTCAAGCTTCAGGGGCCCCATAAGAGTTCAAGCTTCAGGGCCCCCCATAACAGTTCAAGCTTCAGGGGGCCCCATAACAGTTCAAGCTTTAGGGGGCCCCATAACAGTTCAAGCTTCAGGGGCCCCATAACAGTTCAAGCTTCAGGGGCCCCATAACAGTTCAAGCTTCAGGGGGCCCCATAACAGTTCAAGCTTCAGGGGCCCCATAACAGTTCAAGCTTCAGGGGGCCCCATAACAGTTCAGGCTTCAGGGGGCGCCATAACAGTTCAAGCTTCAGGGGGCCCCATAACAGTTCAAGCTTCAGGGGGCCCCATAACAGTTCAAGCTTCAGGGGGCCCCATAACAGTTCAAGCTTCAGGGGGCCCCATAACAGTTCAGCTTCAGGGACCCCATAACAGTTCAAACTTCAGGGGCCCCCATAACAGTTCAAATTTCAAGGGCCCCCATAGCAGTTCAAGCTTCAGGGGGCCCCATAACAGCTCAAGCTTCAGGAACCCCCATAACAGTTCAGCTTCAGGGACCCCCATAACAGTTCAAACTTCAGAGGCTCCCATAACAGTTCAAATTTCAAGGGCCCCCATAGTAATTCAAGCCTCAGGGGCCACCATAGTTCAAGTTTCAGGGGCCCCCATAGCAGTTCAGACTTCAGGGTCCCCCATAGCAGTTCAAGCTTCAGGGGCCCCCATAGTTCAAGCTTCAGAGGCCCCCATAGTTCAAGCTTCAGGGGCCCCATAACAGTTCAAGCTTCAGGGGGCCCCATAACAGTTCAAGCTTCAGGGGCCCCATAACAGTTCAAGCTTCAGGGGGCCCCATAACAGTTCAAGCTTCAGGGGCCCCATAACATTCAAGCTCAGGGGCCCCATAACAGTTCAAGCTTCAGGGGGCCCCATAACAGTTTAAGCTTCAGGGGGCCCCATAACAGTTCAAGCTTCAGGGGGCCCCATAACAGTTCAAGCTTCAGAGGCCCCCATAACAGTTCAAGCTTCAGAGGCCCCCATAACAGTGATTCAAGCTTCAGGGGGCCCCATAACAGTTCAAGCTTCAGGGGGCCCCATAACAGTTCAAGCTTCAGAGGCCCCCATAACAGTTCAAGCTTCAGGGGCCCTCATAACAGTTCAAGCTTCAGGGGGCCCCATAACAGTTCAAGCTTCAGAGGCCCCCATAACAGTTCAAGCTTCAGGGGCCCCATAGCAGTTCAAGCTTCAGGGGCCCCATAACAGTTCAAGCTTCAGGGGGCCCCCATAACAGTTCAAGCTTCAGGGGCCCCATAACAGTTCAAGCTTCAGGGGCCCCATAACAGTTCAAGCTTCAGGGGCCCCATAAGAGTTCAAGCTTCAGGGCCCCCCATAACAGTTCAAGCTTCAGGGGGCCCCATAACAGTTCAAGCTTTAGGGGGCCCCATACAGTTCAAGCTTCAGGGGGCCCCATAACAGTTCAAGCTTCAGGGGCCCCATAACAGTTCAAGCTTCAGGGGCCCCATAACAGTTCAAGCTTCAGGGGGCCCCATAACAGTTCAAGCTTCAGGGGGCCCCATAACAGTTCAAGCTTCAGGGGGCCCCATAACAGTTCAGGCTTCAGGGGGCGCCATAACAGTTCAAGCTTCAGGGGGCCCCATAACAGTTCAAGCTTCAGGGGGCCCCATAACAGTTCAAGCTTCAGGGGGCCCCATAACAGTTCAAGCTTCAGGGGGCCCCATAACAGTTCAGCTTCAGGGACCCCATAACAGTTCAAACTTCAGGGGCCCCCATAACAGTTCAAATTTCAAGGGCCCCCATAGCAGTTCAAGCTTCAGGGGGCCCCATAACAGCTCAAGCTTCAGGAACCCCCATAACAGTTCAGCTTCAGGGACCCCCATAACAGTTCAAACTTCAGAGGCTCCCATAACAGTTCAAATTTCAAGGGCCCCCATAGTAATTCAAGCCTCAGGGGCCACCATAGTTCAAGTTTCAGGGGCCCCCATAGCAGTTCAGACTTCAGGGTCCCCCATAGCAGTTCAAGCTTCAGGGGCCCCCATAGTTCAAGCTTCAGAGGCCCCCATAGTTCAAGCTTCAGAGGCCCCCATACTTCAAGCTTCAGGGGCCCCCATAGTTCAAGTTTCAGGGGTCCCCATAACAGTTCAATCTTCTGGGCCCCGAAAATGTAGGTCCCCACTGAGGAGGACGGGAAGATAATAAATAAATGAGTTGAATTTCAAGAATAAATTACAATAAACTCTCAGTTTGTGGAACAAATTGTAGTCGATGTTTTGATCTGTGTTGGACCATTAAACAGTTTGATAATAGTCCAGGATTGGTCGAAACGTCGTCTTAAGTTTCAAGTCTCCTTAACAAATTATTAGTTTTGGGGTAGAATGTCAGGGAGAAGAAAGGTAAATAATGTGCAATTATTACCTGGTGTCCCGTGGCCTGGTGGTTAAAGTTCTCGATTCACACGGTGAGCCTCCGGGTTCGATTCCCGGCGAAGGGGTGGAAACATTGGACGTGTTTCTTTACACCGGTTGTCTATGTTCACCCATCAGTATAAAATGGGCACCTGTGTGTTAGTGGACTGTATCTGGAGTTTATCTGGAGAGAGTTCCGGGGGTCAACGCCCCCGCGGCCCGGTCTGTGACCAGGCCTCCTTAGGTCAGTGTCCCAGGATGCGACCCACACCAGTCGACTAACACCCAGGTACCCATTTTACTGATGGGGAACACAGACAACAGGTGGAAAGAAACACGTCCAATGTTTCTACTCTGGCTGGGAATCGAACCCAGGCCCTCACCGTGTGAAGCGAGAGCGTTAACCACCAGGCCAGGTGTGGGTCGCATCCTGGGACAAAACTGACCTAATTTACGGGAAATGCTCAGCATAACAAGTGACTTTCTATATAGTAGTATGTCATTGATGTCAGCTATGGTCTGTATACCTTGTACATGTACTGGTAGTAAATATATTATTACTATTATAGTTACCTGGTGCTAGTTGACTGTTGTGGTTGGTATCCTGGGAGTGGTAGTATACCTCAGTGCTACCGCTAATAGGATGAGCTGATTTCATTAGGTTAGGTAAGAGTCGTCAGGAAGCAGGACAAGTGTTTCCTGACGCGGGTCTTAGTCATACGATGACCCACCACTGGAGATTTTGGTCATCTGACCGAGGCCTTCCACCGGCTTACCGGTCCACCCCTTTAAAAATTCTGGCAATGATTATAGCGATTTTTGAAGAAGGATTACAGCTCTTGGCTCGATACATAAACAGCGTGAAACGAAACCAGTGTCATAAATAACTCACCCACTTGTGTGACGCTGCACAGATGGATAACTCACCTCCACAACATGGGTATTATTGGATGAACTATCTACCTGTGTCACGAGTATATTGTAAACATACCTTCGTGACATGAGCTTCAGGTATAACATGAAGGTTGCCCTGGGAAAGAGCAGGACGCAAGTAAGCTTCTGCTACCGATGATCTCTGTCCATTTAGCTGTGTCACATCAGCCACGGCGAATCCTGAGAACAGTTGGAGTACATTATCTATCGTACTATTGAAGATATGTAATACCGATGAGATAAAGATTTAGAGATCATTTGTTTTCATATTATACTTGACTACAGTCCACAGGATGGGTATGGGACGATAACCAGCCACATGATGGCTATCACCCACAGGATGGGTATGGGACGATAACCAGCCACAGGATGGCTATCACCCACAGGATGGGTATGGGACGATAACCAGCCACAGGATGGCTATCACCCACAGATGGGTATGGGACGATAACCAGCCACAGGATGGCTATCACCCACAGGATGGGTATGGGATGATAACCAGCCACAGGATGGCTATCACCCACAGGATGGGTATGGGACGATAACCAGCCACAGGATGGCTATCACTCACAGGATGGGTATGGGACGATAACCAGACACAGGATGGCTATCACCCACAGGATGGGTATGGGACGATAACCAGACACAGGATGGCCACCACCCACAGGTTGGGTATGGGACGAAAATCAGCAATAGGATGGCTACCACCCATAGGATGGCTACCACCCACAGGATGAGTATGGAACGATAACCAGCCACAGGATGGCTATCACCCACAGGATGGGTATGGGATGATAACCAGCCACAGGATGGCTACCACCCACAGGATGGGTATGGGACGATAACCAGCCATAGGATGGCTACCACCCACAGGATGGCTATCACCCACAGGATGGGTATGGGATGACTACCACCCACAGGATGGCTACCACCCACAGGATGGCTATCACCCAGAGAATGGCTATCTCCCACAGGATGGCTGTCACCCACAGGATGGCTATCACCCAAAGGATGGCTATCACCCACAGGATGGCTGTCACCCACAGGATGGCTATCACCCACAGGATGGCTATCACCCACAGGATGGCTATCACCCACAGGTTGGCTATCACCCACAGGATGGCTATCACCCACAGGATGGTTACCACTCACAGGATGGCTACCACCCACAGGATGGCTACCACCCACAGGATGGCTACCACCCACAGGATGGGTATGGAACGATAACCAGCCACAGGATGGCTATCACCCACAGGATGGGTATGGGACGATAACCAGCCACAGGATGGCTACCACCCACAGGATGGGTATGGGACGAAAATCAGCAATAGGATGGCTACCACCCACAGGATGGCTATCACCCACAGGATGGGTATGGGACGACTACAACCCACAGGATGGCTGTCACCCACAGGATGGCTATCACCCACAGGATGGCTATCACCCACAGGATGGCTACCACCAACAGGATGGCTACCACCCACAGGATGGCTATCACCCACAGGATGGCTATCACCCACAGGATGGCTGTCACCCACAGGATGGCTATCACCCACAGGATGGCTATCACCCACAGGTTGGCTATCACCCACAAGATGGCTATCACCCACAGGATGGCTACCACTCACAGGATGGCTACCACCCGCAGGATGGCTACCACCCACAGGATGGGTATGGGACGATAACCAGCCACAGGATGGCTATCACCCACAGGATAGCTATCACCCACAGGATGGCTGTCACCCACAGGATGGCTATTACCAACAGGATGGCTATCACCCATAGGATGGCTACCACCCACAGGATGGCTATCACCCACAGGATGGCTATCACCCACAGGATGGCTGTCACCCACAGGATGACTATCACCCACAGGATGGCTATCACCCACAGGATAGCTATCACCCACAGGATAGCTATCACCCACAGGATGGCTACCACCCTCAGGATGGCTGTCACCCACAGGATAGCTATCACCCACAGGATGGCTACCACCCACAGGATGGCTATCACCCACAGGATATCTATCACCCACAGGATGGCTACCACCCACAGGATGGCTATCACCCACAGGATGGCTACCACCCACAGGATGGCTATCACCCACAGGATGGCTGTCACCCACAGGATGGCTATCACCCACAGGATGGCTATCACCCACAGGATGGCTATCACCCACAGGATAGCTATCACCCACAGGATGGCTATCACCCACAGGATGGCTACCACCCACAGGATGGCTACCACCCACAGGATGGCTGTCACCCACAGGATGGCTATCACCCACAGGATGGCTGTCACCCACAGGATGGCTATCACCCACAGGATGGCTATCACCCACAGGTTGGCTATCACCCACAAGATGGCTATCACCCACAGGATGGCTACCACTCACAGGATGGCTACCACCCGCAGGATGGCTACCACCCACAGGATGGCTACCACCCACAGGATGGGTATGGGACGATAACCAGCCACAGGATGGCTATCACCCACAGGACAGCTATCACCCACAGGATGGCTGTCACCCACAGGATGGCTATTACCCACAGTATGGCTACCACCCACAGGATGGCTATCACCCACAGGATGGCTGTCACCCACAGGATGGCTGTCACCCACAGGATGGCTATCACCCACAGGATGGCTATCACCCACAGGATGGCTATCTCCCACAGGATGGCTACAACCCACAGGATGGCTATCACCCACAGGATAGCTATCACCCACAGGATGGCTATCACCCACAGGATGACTACCACCCACAGGATAGCTATCATCCACAGGATAGCTATCACCCACAGGATGGCTATCACCCACAGGATGGCTATCACCCACAGGATAGCTATCACCCACAGGATGGCTATCATCCACAGGATAGCTATCACCCACAGAATGGCTATCACCCACAGGATGGCTACCACCAACAGGATGGCTATCATCCACAGGATGGCTATCACCCACAGGATGGCTATCACCCACAGGATGTCTACCACCCACAGGATGGCTGTCACCCACAGGATAGCTATCACCCACAGGATGGTTTTCACCCACAGGATGGCTACCACCCACAGGATGGCTATCACCCACAGGATAGCTATCACCCACAGGATGGCTATCACCCACAGGATAGCTATCACCCACAGGATGGCTATCACCCACAGGATAGCTATCACCCACAGGATGGCTACCACCCACAGGATGGCTGTCACCCACAGGATAGCTATCACCCAGAGGATGGCTATCACCCACAGGATGGCTACCACCCACAGGATGGCTATCACCCACAGGATATCTATCACCCACAGGATGGCTACCACCCGCAGGATGGCTATCACCCACAGGATGGCTACCACCCGCAGGATGGCTATCACCCACAGGATGGCTATCACCCACAGGATGGCTATCACCCACAGGATGGCTATCACCCACAGGATAGCTATCACCCACAGGATGGCTATCATCCACAGGATAGCTATCACCCACAGAATGGCTATCACCCACAGGATGGCTACCACCAACAGGATGGCTATCATCCACAGGATGGCTATCACCCACAGGATGATTATCACCCACAGGATGTCTACCACCCACAGGATGGCTGTCACCCACAGGATAGCTATCACCCACAGGATGGTTTTCACCCACAGGATGGCTACCACCCACAGGATGGCTATCACCCACAGGATAGCTATCACCCACAGGATGGCTATCACCCACAGGATAGCTATCACCCACAGGATGGCTATCACCCACAGGATAGCTATCACCCACAGGATGGCTACCACCCACAGGATGGCTGTCACCCACAGGATAGCTATCACCCAGAGGATGGCTATCACCCACAGGATGGCTACCACCCACAGGATGGCTATCACCCACAGGATATCTATCACCCACAGGATGGCTACCACCCGCAGGATGGCTATCACCCACAGGATGGCTACCACCCGCAGGATGGCTATCACCCACAGGATGGCTATCACCCACAGGATGGCTATCACCCACAGGATGGCTATCACCCACAGGATGGCTATCACCCACAGGATGGCTATCACCCACAGGATGGCTATCACCCACAGGATGGCTACCACCCAAAGGATGGCTACCACCCACAGGATGGCTGTCACCCACAGGATAGCTATCACCCAGAGGATGGCTATCACCCACAGGATGGCTACCACCCACAGGATGGCTATCACCCACAGGATATCTATCACCTGCAGGATGGCTACAACCCACAGGATGGCTATCACCCACAGGATGGCTATCACCCACAGGATAGCTATCACCCATAGGATGGCTACCACCCACAGGATGGCTATCACCCACAGGATGGCTATCACCCACAGGATAGCTATCACCCACAGGATGGCTATCACCCACAGGATGGCTATCACCCACAGGATGGCTATCACCCACAGGATGGCTACCAACTGCAGGATGGCTATCACCCACAGGATGGCTACCACCCACAGGATGGCTATCGCCCACAGGATGGCTATCACCCACAGGATGGCTATCACCCACAGGATAACTATCACCCACAGGATGGCTATCACCCAAAGGATAGCTATCACCCACAGGATGGCTATCACCCACAGGATGGCTACCACCCACAGGATGGCTATCACCCACAGGATATCTATCACCCACAGGATGGCTACCACCCGCAGGATGGCTATCACCCACATAATGGCTACCACCCACAGGATGGCTATCACCCACAGGATGGCTATCACCCACAGGATAGCTATCACCCACAGGATGGCTATCACCCACAGGATGGCTATCACCCACAGGATGGCTACCACCTGCAGGATGGCTATCACCCACAGGATGGCTACCACCCACAGGATAGCTATGACCCACAGGATGGCTATCACCCACAGGATGGCTACCACCCACAGGATAGCTATCACCCACAGGATGGCTACCACCCACAGGATGGCTATCACCCACAGGATAGCTATGACCCACAGTATGGCTATCACCCACAGGATGGCTATAGGCTGCATGGTAAGCCTGTCAACCTACCTATCTGCTCAGGTCCATTGGGATCGACAACGTCGTAGCCCAGTTCTTGCCCAGCCTTGAGGAACCCATCGAGGACAGTCGAACTCCATCTCTTGTCATCTACGGAGACTGGCCCCGCAGTTCCATGGTACGCCGCTGATATGGAGAAATAAATTGTTAATTACAGTAATTTTCTCAAAAAAATTCCTCTATATATTTAGAAAATCTCACGTCAAACAATTATATTTTTAGTGTGAAAGAAGCAGTGCAGAAACAATTAATAATATTTCACAACTAATCCACAATTTGCAAATAATTAAGACGTTTCGGGCTTTCCTAGACCTCTTGATATTGGACCGAAACTGACCGAAATGTCTTCTTGAATTTTATCTGCGATTTGTGGATTAGTTATGAACTGTTTCAGTCAGGTTGACTGTGAGTTGTGTTCTTCAGTAAGATTTGTTGACTACTGTTTAATGCTGCTGTAATTAGAATTTAATAAAAAAGTTGAAACATTTTGATATCAGACGAGACATCACGAGAACTAAGATATATTTCACTCTGTGTAGAGCTTTATCATGTCTCGTGGGCTTAATAAAGCTTTGTCATGTCTCGTGGGCTTAATAAAGCTTTGTCATGTCTCGTGGGCTTAATAAAGCTTTGTCATGTCTCGTGGGCTTAATAAAGCTTTGTCATGTCTCGTGGGCTTAATAAAGCTTTGTCATGTCTCGTGGGCTTAATAAAGCTTTGTCATGTCTCGTGGGCTTAATAAAGCTTTGTCATGTCTCGTGGGCTTAATAAAGCTTCATGTCTCGTGGGCTTAATAAAGGTTTATCATGTCTCGTGGGCTTAATAAAGCTTGATCATGTGTCGTGGGCTTAAAGCTTGATCATGTCTCGTGGGCTTAATAAAGCTTTGTCATGTCTCGTGGGCTTAATAAAGCTGTCATGTTTCGTGGGCTTAATAAAGCTTGATGTCTCGTGGGCTTAATAAACCTTTATCATGTCTCGTGGGCTTAATAAAGCTTTATCATGTCTCGTGGGCTTAATAAACCTTTATCATGTCTCGTGGGCTTAATAAAGCTTTGTCATGTCTCGTGGGCTTAATAAAGCTTTGTCATGTCTCGTGGGCTTAATAAAGCTTGATCATGTCTCGTGGGCTTAAAGCTTTATGTCTCGTGGGCTTAATAAAGCTTTATGTCTCGTGGGCTTAATAAAGCTTTATCATGTCTAGTGGGCTTAATAAAGCTTTATCATGTCTCGTGGGCTTAATAAAGCTTGATCATGTCTCGTGGGCTTAATAAAGCTTGATCATGTCTCGTGGGCTTAATAAAGCTTTATCATGTCTCGTGGGCTTTATAAAGCTTTATCATGTCTCGTGGGCTTAATAAAGCTTTGTCTCGTGGGCTTAATAAAGCTTTATCATGTCTCGTGGGCTTAAAGCTTTATCATGTCTCGTGGGCTTAATAAAGCTTTATCATGTCTCGTGGGCTTTATAAAGCTTTATCATGTATCGTGGGCTTAATAAAGCTTTATCATGTCTCGTGGGCTTAATAAAACTTGATCATGTCTCGTGGGCTTAATAAAGCTTTATCATGTCTCGTGGGCTTTATAAAGCTTTATCATGTCTCGTGGGCTTAATAAAGCTTTATGTCTCGTGGGCTTAATAAAGCTTTATCATATCATGGGCTTAAAGCTTTATCATGTCTCGTGGGCTTAATAAAGCTTTATCATGTCTCGTGGGCTTTATAAAGCTTTATCATGTCTCGTGGGCTTAATAAACCTTTATCATGTATCGTGGGCTTAATAAAGCTTTATCATGTCTCGTGGGCTTAATAAAGCTTTATCATGTCTCGTGGGCTTAATAAAGCTTTATCATGTCTCGTGGGCTTTATAAAGCTTTATCATGTCTCGTGGGCTTTATAAAGCTTTATCATGTCTCGTGGGCTAAATAAAGCTTTATGTCTCGTGGGCTTAATAAAGCTTTATCATGTCTCGTGGGCTTAAAGCTTTATCATGTCTCGTGGGCTTAATAAAGCTTTATCATGTCTCGTGGGCTTTATAAAGCTTTATCATGTCTCGTGGGCTTAATAAACCTTTATCATGTCTCGTGGGCTTAATAAAGCTTTATCATGTCTCGTGGGCTTAATAAAGCTTTATCATGTCTCGTGGGCTTAATAAAGCTTTATCATGTCTCGTGGGCTTAATAAAGCTTTATCATGTCTCGTGGGCTTAATAAAGCTTTATCATGTCTCGTGGGCTTAATAAAGCTACACACAGTGAAATATTTTTACAGTGTAAGACTGTTTTGCACCTACGTTTCTTCTGCACTTCTGGCTAGGTTATAATAATAATAATAATAATAATAATAATAATAATAATAATAATAATAATAATATATTTATTTACTACCAGTACATGTACAAGGTATACAGACCATAGCTGACATCAGTGACATACTACTATATAGAAAGTACCTTGTTATGCTGAACATTTCCCACAAATTAGGTCAATGTCGTCCCCTGGATGCGACCCACACTAGTCCACTGACACCCAGGTACCTATTTTACTGCTAGGTAAACAGTGACAGTAGGTGTCCTAAGTAAACACGTCTAAAGGGGTCCCTCGGGCCAAAAAATGTAGCTTTTTTGTTTACCGTCCGATTTCCTCCAGTTTTGGTGCACAAGACAAAGTGTTTTCACTCATTCTTGAAAATATTTATCAAAAATATACCTCAAACGACAACTGAGAAAAGACTGAAAAAGACTGATTTGCTGAAAAATGCCCTTTGGGGGCTATTTATTCCTATATGGGACATCGTAAGGTTGTTTGGACACTTGGTGCCGAGAGAGCAATGCTTATACGAAGTTTAGGCAACGCCTTTTCTCTAAATAACGTATCTTTATTTAAAAAAAAAATATTTTTTTAGTTCTTGGAATACTGCAAAAAATCTGCCCTTTACTCCCACGTAACTCCGAAAGTATTTGGAATATTTCCAAATTACGTTACACAGAATTAGATAAATCATTATTCTACAATTTCTGTGAATATTATTCCATTTAATTAAGTAATAAATGCAGAAATAGGAACTGAAGGTGAATAAGTTACTTCCGAGATATAGGCCTAGAACGCCGGCCGGCCCACCGTCTCAAAAATTTTTTTTTTTTTTTTCGCGAAAATCGCGTTTGTTTGGGTGTATTTCTTAGTAAACTGATGTTCTAGTGCAGTTATCCTCTTCAAAACACCGTTTTCTCTTACTCAGAGACCAAAGAATACGACACGGAGAAGACATGGAGAGCAGTAACTCTATTTATCGAAATATTCCCGATAATCTTTCGCCATATTATGGCCTATTTTTTTCAGTCTAGAGTATATAACATGTTTGTATGTTATTTAGAGTGTTTATTATATCATATTAGAACAATTCTGATAGATAAATAAGCTGTAGAGTTGATATATAAGCTGATATAAGCGTAATAATGAAGTGATTTCCCTGCGGCGGCAACCCTTCCGCGCATTATGATATGATTAATGACTGTTGCTGAATCTAGGGATAAGCTCCGCCTTCAGTTTTATGATGCCAAGTAGTCAGTTATTATATTAGAAAGTATAATGCAAGAAAAAGCGATAAAAAACAAGGAAAAATTTCCAAAATATATATGGGCTGTGAGCAGACTCGCTACCAATATCACCGTCACCTTACCTCATATAAATGACTGTAATTTCTTGTAGAAACGTCGTAGAACATTCATTCTGGTACCATTGTGTTGCCAAAGAGTTGAGCTATTTTTCAGTATATATAACTCAATATCCATATTTTTTCGATATTTCGGTGAGCGCGCGCGGAAATTTCCCCTACTGCCCCCTAAAAGGTTTCCACCCCTACCGGGGATTGATCCCCCGTCTTAGCTAGGGGACACCTTAGGTTAGGTAAGATTCATCAGGAAACAGGACAAGTGTTTCTTGATGCAGGTCTCAGTTATATAATGACCCGCCACTAAAGCTTTTGGTCATCTGACCGAGGCCTTCACCTGGCCATTCCACCCCTTTAAAAATTAAAGAGTACATCTTTCGTGTTGATGAATAAAACTCATGTGTACCAACAGCCTTCTTCAGTCGAATATAGGTGAACCCAACACTAGAAACAGAAAAAAAGTATTTTTGACGTGATCAGTCCCTCATCTTCGTAGGAGCTGGTCAGTCCCTCATCTTCTGGAGGGGTCAGTCCCCGTCTTCGTAGGACGGTCAGTCCCTCAGTCTTCGTAGGAGCTGGTCAGTCCCTCAGTCTTCGTAGGAGCTGGTCAGTCCCTCAGTCTTCGTAGGAGCTGGTCAGTCCCTCAGTCTTCGGGAGTGGCAGTCCCTCATCTTCGTAGGAGCGGGTCATCCCCAGTCTTCGTGGGAGTGGTCAGCCCCTCAGTCTTCGTAGAGCTGGTCAGTCCCCTCTTCGGGGGTGGTCATCCCTCATCTTCGTGGAGCGGTCACCCCCTCAGCTTCGTAGGACTGGCATCCCTCATTTTCGTAGGAGCGGTCGTCCCTCGTCTTCGTAGGGCTGGTCTCCCTCACTTTTGTAGGAGCTGGTCAGTCCCTCGTCTTCGTGGGAGCGGGTCATCCCTCAGTCTTCGAGGAGCTGGTCAGTCCCCCAAACTTAAAACTGTTTTGCTTTGTTTTAGCTTTAAAATTTGTAACATGATTAATATCATTTGATATTATTAATACCTAACCAAAACCCCCAGAAAATAACTCCCCCACCTGTTGAAATTTACGTTTCCCGTTGGTTTCGCTTTCTTGAAGTAGGTAAACTTGTTATAGTTCCACCCGGGTTGCCCAGAGCCTCCCAGTGGATAGTCGCGTCTGTTGCCTCTCACTACATCACCCTTTTGTTGTCGACCCACCCCCACAGGGCCGGGGGGATAGGGAAAGGGCCTCCCTCACCCCATCCCGGGAAGACATAAATAAATATAGAAGTCGTGTAGGCCTACCCCCAAGATAGTAGTTTTTACCATGGTTACATTTAACCTCATATGCATACCAACAGAAGTAAATAAAAAACCCCTTTGCAACCTCCTGGGAGCTTGCATTTCAGAAAAGGAAAAGCCGCTGGACAATGCAAGGGTGAAATGTGCTAAATATACAGAAATACCCCCAGTTTTCTTTCCTTAAAAATTTCCGTTCCAAAGGTCGGTCGAAAT